AATATTTTTCAGGGCCGGGAAAGGAGGTAGTGGATGCCGACCCCTCACAAGCTTAAAGAGGACTAGGAAATTATTTTTGCTATCTTTTGTATATTTACTATACTTTTGTAAAGCCATAAAACTGTAGTGAAATGTATTCTTTTTGCAAGCCATGGCCATATATTGTAAACTATTGCTTATGTTGGTATTTTAAAGGGAATTGTGACTATGTAAACACTTGTTGACGAATGGGTTAAAATGTTATATTTTGATCTATTGTTGAGGCCATTTAATTGTGTAAAACCATATTTTGTTGCCGTGAATTCGGAATTTAACTGTATAATAGGTCCAGTATAGGTTGTGTATGTGTAGCTTAGCCAGAATGCCATTCCAGTGAGTTCAGGGTTCAGGGGCCTTGTTTCGGCCGGCTGACCTGTGATACTCCTCGAATTCGAGACATAGGTTGATCAGGCCCAAGCCCAAATCCGAAGGATACCAAACAATCAATATGTAAATGAACACAGATTTCAAAATGAATTAAGAAATAAATAATTAAAGTCTGAAAGAATTCTAAATTAAAAATTCTTAAAAATTAAAAACTTAATATCCAATAATCCAAAACCTCCATTAAATTAATAACTCGAGAATCCATCATGTGGACCCCTAATAATATCCCAAATTGAAACTGAAACAATTGAAATAAAATCTAAAGCCAAACATGGAAAGTAGTCATACGTAGTTGAAGGAATGAGTGTCTGTATCTGCTTTGCACGACCAACCTCTAACCCTGGAACTGACGAACACTTGAAAAATAAGAGAGTGGGTCAGGCCCACATGCAAGTTCTATTCTACTATGATCCATACAGAAACCCGATATGCAGATACATCCTAGATAGCTCAACAATAACTAGAGTAGTCCATATATGTATAAGTACACACTCTAGGACGCTTACTAGTCCAATAGGTCTGTCTCAACCTAAGTAGAGATACCATGCAAATCGCACATAATGTGGTCAAGTGTACCTAGACCTACCAGGGAACAACAATTACTGTCCAGTTATCTATCCTAAGCGATATACGCACCCTAACCATGGTCCTGAGACTCAAACTCATACCAATTTTGTATACTCCTAATAGAAAATATCATCCATCTGGTATAGTGGTCTGATATATGTATAACAATCCATCCAGAAACCAAAGTAGGTCATTCAATTATTTTATTGACATGACACAAATATGAGTAGGACTTAACCTTTATGGTTAATTCATATTTCAATCCATAATAGATAGGACTTAGTGTTTGAACTAATCCATCCCTAGTATGCTACCGTCCCATACCGGTGCATACAATCTTTCAAATAGTATAGTTAATAAAACAACACTATATATTCATTAACTTTTCTCCAAAATATGCATCATTATAAATTAATACATATATAACGATATTAGGCATTCATTATAGAACCTAAAAATCATGTTTCAACTATGTAAATTGCTAAAATAGATCTAAGCATTTACATCCTTCAAATTATCCATAAACTGATATAGTTAAAAGTAGGTAAATATCAATTTGTTCCAAAACAAGCATGATCAATTTCAAGTAATCCATGATACTTATAACCCTGTTTAAGTATGATTAGTCAATATATAATCACATATAAACAAATCTCCAAGTTCCAATGTACAAATTGATTGACAATCAAAGTGCAACATGTAGGATTTTTCCCTAATTTTACACTGTCCATTCCCTAATCCATTTATGAATTATTGTTTCCCTATATTTTACAGGTCTATGGGAATCATACACATCAGTTTAAATAGTTTAAACAAATTAAAAACACCCTGCACAGTCCAAACCACGACTTAAAACCAACAATGTGCAATTCTGGGTGAGAGCAGGCTCTCACAACTTGAGAGCCTGTTTCTTTGGCATAGGAGCCGGCTCCCTAACTTAGGGAGCCTGCTCTATGCAGCTAGGAGCTGGCTCCATACTCCTCGGAGCCGGCTCCATTGATGAGGGAGCTGGCTCCTACCTTTTGGGAGCCCTCTCTCTCACTCTTTGAAGTCTTTCTACGTTTTTTGCTTCGTCTTCCTTGCCTCCGGCAATACCCAGGCCTCTGTAATTCTGTTAATCACTTGTTCTAATGTTTAATCAATGTCCCAGAACAGTTATAAAGCATCGTCATGCATCAACGACATCAATTAAACTCAAACAAAGCATGCATCAGTTAACAGAACTGTAAGAACTTGCAACCCAGTTTAATTCAACAAAATTAAATATAGTTAAAACATGCATAAACGACTTGTTTTAACATTAATTAAACCCCTGGAGTCTACCTAGGCATGCACAGAACACAGGTTTAGGGGAAAGAGTTAGAACAAAACTTGCCTCTGATTTCAGTTTAGAAATCTTAAATCGTCGTCTCTAGCAACTTCGGTGACCTTAGTTGTTTTTACTGACCTCTACTACTCCTAGTTCAACCCACGAGCATACGTCAATGACTCCCCCTTGATTCAATCTTAGTATAAGCCAAACCCTAGCCTTCCTTTCTCCGTTTATCTCTGTTTCTCTCTGTCTCTCAATACTCTCTGTTCGTGGTTTATGTCATAAACCCTAGACAGACATCATATATATATATATAGGTTTCTTTAGAGATTGAAAACCCTAAGTTAAATTCTAGTCGGCCACAAACATAACAGAATAATACAATCCTAATTAAATCCAATTAACTTATTTAAGTAATTAAACAATTACAATAATTTAATTAAAAAATAATAATAATAAAAGAAAACAATTAAATTAATTAATTCACGTAATTCAAATAATAATAATTAATTCAATTAATTTATACAAACAAGCAATTAAGTAATTAAACCAATCAAAATGAAATTAAATAAGTAATTAAAATACCAGGACTATTATTTTAAAATTAGGGGTATTACATGACCCTCACCATCAACCGATCGAAACCTCTGGTTCGGTCGACCGAACCCCCTCCATCAGCCGACAGATGGTTCTACAGTGAAAGTCCTGAGAGCTTGTATTTTTCCTCATCGTTTCAGCCGCCCGACCCTGTAGGTCAGCCGATTGAACTTGTTTTGTCAGCCGGCTAATGAAGGGCCATTAGCCGGTTGGTCCTTCCTTTTCCACCAGTACCACTTAGACCCCTCTGTAGGGCTGTTTTCCTAAAGTATTTTGAGACTTGGATCGGCTAGTAGGACGGCCATGGACACAAGAAATGAGTGTATGACCTAGTTGACCTCGGGTAAGGGCAAGGACCTGGTTAACGGTCCGAACCCACGGGTTTGGGTCGTTACATTATTACTTTATCAGACTTAACCATAGTTAATTTACCATAATTGTATTTGTGACATAAAATTTGAGGGAAAATGTAATGCCTGAATTTAGAGATTTTTCTTATTTCTGTCTTAGTATTGAGCTATAGAGTTCCAGAAAATCCAAATTTAGAGACATTTTATTGTTTTCATGGCAGGATTAAACAATATATGCTTTCTGTTTGTGACTCCATTATTGGAAGTTGTGCTTATTCACAAGCCCTAAAAAATTGGTATCCTTTGAACAAAAAAAAAAAAAACTTATTTACGAAGTATGGAATAATGGGTCGACGAAAAAACTAAAAAATAAAAAATAAAAAAGAGAGCAACAATCAAGCCATCAAGGTAAAAAAAAAAAAAAAAAAAAATAGAGCAAAAAAAAAAAAAAATTAAATAAATCAAAGTGCAAAAAGAAGAGAGAGAAAGAGATAATGACCTGGATCCGGTTTTGGAGAATGAATATGGTAGTTGTGTTATGGCTGTAGTGGTGAATATGGTGGCTGTAATGGTGTGGATATGACGGTAATGGTTGAGATTATAAAGACGATGGAAGAGATTAAGGGGAGAGAGAGATTAAATAAATGTATTGGTTAATTATGGTAAATTAACTATGGTTAGGTCTAATAAAGTAATAAAGTGTAATTTTCCTAATTGACTTTTGATCTGTTGAAAAGTTCGTTGTTTCAAACCGCATGAGAGCCTTCGTGTATATATCTTTATCTCCGAGTCTTGAGAATATAAACACATAGAAGTTAGTATCAAATATTATCATTTTATAACCAAAAAACATACAATCCAATTATTCATAATTCACAACGTGCAACAAAACTTATATTTACATAGTACATATTGAATGAATAAAGATTACACTAAAGATTACACTTTTATAAGCCAAGTTCATAAGCCTTTTATATAACAAATAAATAAATATATTAATAATTAAAAATTTAATCTATAAGCAAAAGTATAGTTATCAATTAATATACTTATTTTAGTATATATATATTGTTGTGTATCAATTTTTAAGTGGCATACTTTTTAATTACTAGTAATTTGCTGAGTAATTTATATAATAATCAGTTATCAATATATACTTATATAAACTTTTGTTAATATACATATTATTTTTGTTACAAAGTAATTAATATACTTTAATAAGCATGTTTAGTATTTAATAAATGAACTTATTTAAAATATTAATTAAATCAATGCTTAGACTTAGGTTTACATTTTAGTTTTCTTTTTTCAAATATGTCGGTTTAAGTATGTTGGTGATGGTAATTGAATAACTTAGTTTTGTTTTTTGTAATTAATAAATAATTGTTCATTTTTAATTGATTTGCTAAATAAATTTTATGTTTCAGTTCTATCATGTAGTCATCCACGTTGTTTGTCTATTTAATGTAATTTTGAAATATATTTTATAATAAAATAAATATATCATTTATCATTTAAATAAGGGCAAAAATGGTATAGTATTATTTGTATTTTAAATCCCATTTCAAATCCAATTTTAAATTCAATTTGTTCCTAACATATAAATGGAAATTCATTTTAATTCCTATTCCAATTCCAATTCCTATTCCAATTCCTATTCCTATTCCAATTCCCAAAATAATTGGTTCCAAACAAAGCCCTATTATAGCCCTATTTTCCAAACACAGCCTTAAAAGATAAACCGACCCAATATTCCTACGCAATTGTGTGTTGCGTTTTGGCACTGGAGACTCTTCAGCCCTATTTTCCAAACACAGCCAAAAGATAAACCGACCCGATATTCCTAATTCTGTGTGTTGCGTTTAGGCATTGGGGACGACACTGAGAGAGTGAATTGGCTCAAGACGGAAAATTATGGCACATAGGTTATTGAGAAATGTGGAAGCCGATGGTTGGGAACGCTCGGACTTCCCAATCATATGCGAGTCGTGTCTCGGAGACAACCCCTACGTTCGAATGGTAATCCTCTTTTAATCTCTCCTTTTATCAATGTTTGAACTACCAGACATTGAAATTGAACTTCTTTGCTTGTTTAGTAACCCTAATTTTGCTTTTGGGCTCTAACATGAGTGCATATATCATTTGTTAGTAATTTGATACCAATCTAATAATTTAAATGAGTCTAATTCTAAAGCAACTTGGGGTGTTTTTGCATGGATTTGGAGTGTTTGGAATTGAAATTGGCATTAGATTACCAAATATTGTATATGCTAGTGTTGAGTCATAGCCTCCTTTGCTGTCAGAATTAATTGCATATTTCGGTGGCCTCCATATTTGCAAATTTGGTCTATATATTTGTCAAATATTGTATGTATTAGTGTTTGAGGTTTGGACAAAATGGAGGCAAGCTAGTGGAATTTTATGTGATAAAAGAATAACACATAGGTTACAATGAAATTTTATAGGACCATTATTAGACCAATGATGTCATACTGGGCCCTAAAAATGAAACAAGAACAACCCCATCATGTAGCAGAAATGAGAATGTTAAAGATGGATGGGTGGAGTGATTAGAAGAAATAGGGTCACCAATGTAGGTGTGAGTGGAAAATTAGTTGTAGCACCCATTGGTGAGAAAATTCCAGAGAGTAGACTTAGATGGTTTGGACATATGCACTGGAGACCTAGTGACGCGCCAGAGCTGTGGTCACCGAAATATGCAACTAATTTTGGCGGCCAAGAGGCAACTCTAATTTTATGTTTTTTGGGTTTTACTGATATACGTATAAATTTGGAATTCGTTTAGAAATCTACATTGCAGAATTCCACAACTATAATTCCAGAAGTTGAATGAGATTTTTTATTTCCAAATTAACTTGGATTTTGGAGTTTTTTCAAGCTCGAGCCTAATCTGTTAAGTTTAGACACTACAATGAAATACAAGATTAATTAAGACTCACTGGCTCTTGATTATAAAATGACCAAATCTTATTTTCACACGAACTTTGAAATTTATGTAGACATTTATATTTGTACACACATGTATGTATTTGTTTATATAAATATTTACACGTACACTTATATACATGTGTTTGTATATGTACATTTAAATGTTTATGTATTAATATGCCTAAATACGTTTATATGCGTTCATATATAAACATATGTACGTATATATACACATGTATGTACTTATAAAAATATATGCATATATGTACATATTATATTTATATGTGTACAGGATCGTTAGACATGTTGACAAATTTTCGAAAGAATATGGAGAACAAAAAAACATTAAAAAAATTCAAAATTCGTTGGTGGATTTTTCTTTAAAAACTTAATAGAGTTAGAGAAGGTCCAATTTCAGAGAGAACTGTTTTATGGTTTCACTGTACCTATCTTTCTACATTGACTAATTATAAAGTGGTGCAAACATAGATGATAATTCTAAAGAAATCTAAAGTTTCTTTGGGAGAAAATTATACGTAGAATGATTCTAAGATAAGAAAGTTGTTAGCACTTTCCTTTTACATTTCTTGTTTACGTCTTCTTTTATATGCATGTATGAGTGCAGGCTGCAGCTGTGGTCGACCTTATATATTCTTGTGATTGGTTCAAAAGGAGTGTATTGTGTCAATCCCTGGAAATTTGCAGAGTTTCGAACACGTATTTGCGGCACAGATTTTTAATCAGAGGACACACTGTTTAAAATTTCTTCTGTCCACGGATCTCAGCCTTAACTGTATTTATAGTTGTACACTTTTACTGCTATCCTAGCCTCTTGCAGATGTTAAAGAAGGTCAATTTTTTATATATTATATACAAAACTTCATATTATATTTTAGATAAAATTTAATGCTTATGTTGTTCTGTAGTAGATTGATTCTTAAACGATTTCCAATTTCTAGTTTATTTCAATTATAGTTAGTCCTCCTTTTTGTTGGTATAACTTGTAACAATTTTTTTGGTATTTGTGTCATGTATGTTTTAATGAAGACAAAAGCAGATTATGATAAAGAGTGCAAGATTTGCACACGGCCGTTCACAGTTTTCAGATGGAGGCCTGGTCGTGATGCAAGACATAAAAAATCTGAGGTTTGCCAGACTTGCAGTAAGTTGAAAAATGTTTGTCAAGTTTGTCTTTTGGATCTCGAATATGGATTGCCAGTTCAGGTTCGGGACACTGCTCTCAACGTCAATTCGAATGAAGCAATTCCAAAGAGTGATGTAAACAGGGAATTCTTTGCAGAGGAGCATGATCGCAAGGTATGCTTTTTAATCTACCATATTTACTTTAGCTGCTAACTTGTTACCAATAAAGTATGTCCCTCTCTCCTTCTCACCTCCCAATGTAGGAAAAAAGAAGAGAGAGAGAGAGAGAGAGAGAGAGAGATTGTAATATATAATCTGTTTATTAATTTATACTACCAACAAATGCTTTACATAGTCAAGCCCAAATCTTTACCGGAACAACTGAAACTTGCCCAAACAAAAGAAATAATTGCTAAATCTAAACAAAATAAGATAATCGTAAGACGAAGGATGCAAAATAATATAATCCCTAAAATAAGAAAATAACCATAAACCTATCCCTAGAACACATGGATTCATCATGAATTCAATTTTCTTAAAAAAATTAGAGATTGCAACTTGACTCTGTTTATTGTAATCATTTGAAAAGTTATACTATAATCAGTCTACATGATTAACTTCTTGTGTTTAGGAGCTGCTTAACCTTTTGTGGGAGCAGCTTTCATATTCTGATATATGTTGTTATGTATGTTTAATATGATCCATTCAGCATTTCAATTCAATCCTATTGATCCTAAGCTGAGTGCTTTTGTTTATGCCCATTTGGGTGCTTGCAATGCTGTTTTGGGCACTATGCCATTATATATATATATATATTTATATAACCTGAATGAATCTAGAAAATGGGAAACCTCTCAAATATTTTTTTTTACAATGCACATCAAAGATTCTATGTAATTTATTTATTCCAGACCCATCTATTTTTGATGCCTTGGTATAATATGTTCACTTAAATGCAGACTCTCATTTGGAAACTTTTGTTCTGAATATGTCATCCTAAAGCCCTCTTTGAGTATTGGTGCCCATCTTTGAATTTGCCGATAATTTTTGTTTTCACAGCCTGTGAATATGAAATTGATCACAAGTAGTCTGTTAATTTTGACACCGAGACCTGTATTTGTTTGGGAAATATATAGAGTTTGGTCTGTGCGATAAACTTTTCTCATGTGATTTGAATTCTTTCCCTTAATCATGTTTTCCTTTTCTTTCCTCCTTAAATTTATTAAATGTCTGTAGCTTTTTATTCCCTTCCGATGGAACTTTTAGATGATTAGAAATACTTTTATATGCAGGCTAGAGCTGGTATAGACTATGAATCTTCATATGGAAAGGTACGCTCAAACGATACTATTCTGAAGCTTCAGAGGACAACACCATATTACAAGAGAAACCGAGCACATGTTTGCAGCTTCTACGTACGGGGTGAATGCACAAGAGGTGCTGAGTGCCCTTATCGGCATGAAATGCCCTTAACTGGGGAGTTGTCCCAACAAAATATTAAAGATCGTTACTATGGGTATGTCCAATGTTAAGGGTTCCATTTTTGCATTATAAGTGGGCATTTCTAAATTCTCCACCTTCCTTATATACACATGCAGTTACAAACATATACATGTTAATTTTCTCTAATTCACACCTATCTTTATGCAAGTATTCATGCATGCATATAATGACCACACTTTATTGACATTAAATGCTATGGTAATGAATACTAGGACCCTAATTGGGTGTGAGAGATCAACCTTTACCTCAAAAACATATATTCATGTGTTCTATGTACTTGTATGTAGACTGACATATTACGCTAATGCATGCATGCAAACACAATTAATTTCACGTGATCGATGATATAACAATCCCACCCACTTTTGTCGTCTTGCCGGAAAAAAAATAAAAAAATAAAAAAAGATGAAAAGAACTAAAAAAGAATCAACTGGCAAGATTGGAAAATAACTCATTGTTCATGTCCGTGATAGAATACATATTATTTTAATTTTTTTTATTTATAAAAGTGTAAGGAACTATTAGTATTTAGTAATAATATATATAACATGACACAATTATTATTTTAAATTTATACATATATACATATCTGCATAAATACAATATATATTGTTGGGTTCTTGCTGTATCCATATGCTATTTTTAAGAATTTGTTATATTGCCATATTCATATTGTGTCTTGTCTGTATCCAGTATCCATGTCCGTGCTTTATAACATACAAATTAACAATCAAGTGGTGTCCCTGCTGTTTGGGCATTTTGAATTTGTCCTTGGGTTTAGTTAGTTTATGCCAAGTCTAATATAAACAACACTTTGAAGCTCTGTCATATCTTGAGGTTGCTTAAGGGAGCTCTATGAGAAGGTCTAGCGTTTTATCCTTCTGGTTTGCTTGGTGTTATCGCCTATTTTAGTGCAGACTAAGCTGGTAATCAATTACATGGGAGATCAGTTTCTTAATATTGCACATTTGTTGGTGGTAACTTATTTACGTGGAAGAACAAGAAATGGAACGTTGTGGCAACATCAAAGGCGGAAGTGAAGTATTGAGCTGCTGCACATACAACAATTGAGAGTATTTTGGTTAGTTGATTTTTGCAAGAGAGAGCATATCCTAGTGACACCTATGCCATTATTGTTTTATGACAATCAAGCTGCTATATATATTGTTCCTACGTATTTTGTGAGATAACCAAACACATAAAGGTAGGTCACTTTGTGTGAGATACGGTGATGGGAAAGAAGGTCATTACTGCTTGTATAGAGTTGAAGATTGATTGGGTTATATGTTTATTGCAGCTTTTGGAAATCATTGTTTTCTTGAGCAATGGATGTTATTGATATTTATGCTCTAGCTTGTGGAGTGAGAAATTTTGTAATATGTAGTAAAGAGAATTTTGTACTTTTGAGTTTTCTAGGGATATAGGTAGAGGAGACAACTTTCCTAAGCTTTAGCCCCTTGGTTGCAGAGTCTTTTGATTTATGCATCTATACAACACATCTTAACCCAAAAAATCAAAAATCAAAAAAAAAAAGGTAGGAAGTTGAATATATATCCTCCTCGAAGAAAGCTGCATCAAGTGGAAACTGTACCCGAGTTATATCAGGAACCAGGTCACCAACTCTGTTGAGTGGGGTGCTTGTAGAATTTTCTTACAAGTGCCAATTTTCTTTTAATTTATGTGCTGAGTAATCTTCTTCTGATGTTTGTTGCTCTTGAAAATAGTTTAACCTCTAGTTCATTATGTGCATATGTCAAACTTTTGGGTGGATGATTCTATTTTGTTTGGTTGTATCTATTTTTACCAAATGTCGTCTTCTTCGCATGAGCATTACTGCATTTACAGTAGAAATATTGATCCCGTACAGTGATACCACTCCGATCTCAAGATGTAGCCTGTGAAATTACTTAACACTTGGAGCTGGCACCTAATTTAAAGCCAGTGTTTTGAAGATGCATTAGTTTTGTACTTATATTTGTTTCATCTTCTACCGAGTGTAGTACCTGTACCAATGATTTCATATGTATTGTAACATTCATTATGATTAGTGATTATTGAATTTACCCACCCATACCATCTTTGCAACCCACCACTTAAGCATGCCCGCAGCCACATATGCAAACTCACACTTCGTACTCATGCACCGTGATGTTTGGATCTTTCAGTTTTATTAATCTGTATTGCTCTTTTCTAAACTGTCGCAGAGTGAATGATCCGGTGGCATTGAAGCTACTAAACAAGGCAGGTGAAATGCCTTCACTGGAACCCCCCGAGGATGGGAGCATTAAAACCCTTTATGTGGGTGGGCTTGACGCAAGAATCACTGAGCAGGACCTGAGGGATCACTTCTACGCCCATGGTGAAATTGAGTCCGTAAGGATGGTGCTGCAACGAGCTTGCGCTTTTGTAACCTACACGACAAGAGAAGGGGCAGAGAAAGCAGCTGAAGAACTCTCAAACAAGCTGGTTATAAAGGGGCTGAGGCTGAAGCTGATGTGGGGTAGACCGCAAGCACCAAAACCGGAGGCTGATGGCTCAGACGAAGCAAGACAGCAGGCAGCAGTTGCACATAGTGGGATGTTGCCGAGAGCAGTTATATCCCAGCAGCAGAACCAACCACTTCAACCACCTGGCACTCAGGACCAACCCCCAGCAGTGCACTACTTTAATATTCCACCACCCCCACAGCAGGAGAGGACATTTTACCCGTCGATGGATCCTCAAAGAATGGGTGCCCTTATTCCATCTCAAGAAGGCACTTCTAGTGGGCCCACGGGGTCAGGTGAGAACAAAACCAGCACAGAGCAGCAGCAACCAGGGCAGCAATATGCCTTTAAATCTCAAGGTCTCTTTCACCAGCCCTTTTATCCACCATTCGGGTATATTCCACCTCCACATCCACAGTATCAGCAATACCCTCCACTTTATCACTCTACAATGCCCTCAGGGACACTGCCGCCACCGCTGCCGCCACCACCACCACCACCAGTGATTCAGCAGTATCAGAATAACACACCGTCAGGGTCGTCACAACAGTGATACATACGGTCTTGTCATATCGCAGTCTTCTAACTGGCATGTACTGATTCATTTTGTTTGAAGTCATTATAGTGTGTTTAAAAGATCTTCTTTGCTTCTGTTTGTCTGCAAATACCCTGGAGCTTAATCTTATAATATAATGTTTGGCTTTTGTGCATTTTATGATGGATTTGCACTTGGGATTTTGGATTACTATCTTTTAATTTTGCAAGGATTTTGTGCTTCTGTTGTCCTAATGAACTTTATAATCTCTCATGTGGCGATGGTTGATCACTTATGTAGTTGTTTGATTAATTTCTTCTTCCTATGTATTTATGTCGAAAGTTGGAAATCTAACCGCAAAAGAGAACTTGAGAACAATATCATATGATATAAGAATATCACTGATTTTTCACGCTTAAAATTACTTTTCAGCAGCTAACAAGGTTTTAAGAGAGAGCAATATAATTTTGTAATAACATGACTCCATCCTTGATCATTTAAAAAAAGAAAAAAAAAAAAAAAAGGGAAGACTTAATAATTTTTTAAAAAAATATTTTTGAAGGCACAATGGACCAACTCGTGAGCTGCTTAAGCCGCAGCTGATTCCACCGCCTCAAATCCTGGAAACCCTCTTCGGTAATTTCACATTGAAGAACCCTAACCCAAACCCCCTCTCATTCGTCTTTCACTATTAAGACATTCTTTTCGCTTTCCAGAGTTCTAAAGGAGGGCGTTTAGTTAAATGATAATTGTGCGCACTTATTTATTTATTTTTATACACACACACGATATCTCTAGTTTTACTTCTAATTCTAATTCAATAAACAGAAAGAGTAACACAATTGTTAAAATTTAATTAAATGTCTAATTTTGTTATTTTATTTTAATTGTAATAGGAAATATAAGTTTTCAAAATTAATTATAAGAAAGCTAATTAAATATTGTCTATTGGATTAAATCATACTATTAGGATTGAAAGTGAGTATACTATTCCTTGTACGTCAAGGAACAATTGAAATATATATATATATATATATATATATATATATATATATAAAGTGAGAGAATCATCAATCATCTTCAACGTACTCAAGTGTTCGTTCTTTTTTTTAGGGTCCAATTGAGTGCTTGTTTTTGAGATATATATGAATGTAATTATATGTATAATTTTGATTTGTTAGATTTTATATGATTTGATGATTGATAGAGCTTTCTTAATTTAACTAGAGTTCTGGAATCTTTTAATAATTTTTTAGTTGCCTGTGAATTAAACTGTGGTTAATAGTGAGTTTGATTAATATAGGGGAATTGCATTAAACCCCTTGACGGTGGATTAAACGGTCTTTTAATTTTTATTTATTTATATTTTTAGTTAAAATCTTCCCCCAATTAACCCCGTGATTATTTTATTGATTTATCCTCAAAAATATCTCTACCAAGTCAAAGGAATTTTATATATAATTGGGGAAATTGCATTGACTCTCTCTTGATTTGGTGGGGTATTTTAGTAAAGTAATCCCTCCATTAGTTGGATTGTTGGAGGGTTTTTTTTGTTCAAAAAAAGAAAAAAATTTAAAAGAAAGTTTATTGCGAAACCCTAAGATTTTATGCAATTCACACATTAATATATGATGATTTGATGTTCTTTTGTGATTGGATTTAGATTTTAAGATGATTTGGATTTCATGATTTATTGTAGTGTTGATAAATTGTTTTATCATGTGGACCCAAAAACTCTCACTGGGGGCTTATCAAACTAGTAGAGTGAAATTTGAAAATAAAGTTCAACGAAATTTGTAAAAGATTAATTACTTTTTTACAATAAAAGTTTATAAAAAAAAATGTAAAGTATAATTATTATTATTTTTAATAGAGAAGAAATTTACCAAAACAAAATAGAAATCTGAGTATATATTTTCATATAAAAGTTCTAAAATTTATCTACAAACCAAAAGTACTTCATAACTTTTGGGGTGTTTAAATTGAGAAAAAAGGGTTACTGTGAACTTTTAAAAATTAGGCAAACCATCACCGTCATAATCAGCATGCTATCCTTTATCTCATATGGATGTGCCATAAATTATTTTTTTCTAATCTTTTGTATTATATACAGCGTCTTTTTTTAAATTTATTTTTTAAAGGAGTATTTTTTATTAGCCTCTTTGTTATTTGTCTTCTAATCAAACAACTCTTCGTCTTTAAAACTATTACCATCATCGGATCTACATTAAATATGATCATACTACCTAAGTCTACTTTTATCAAATTTTTTTAATAATTTATAGGCGCTATACCTACTGTTCCCCTAAATCATTCATTATCCATCTTATCTCTTCAATTTATTCTTATATTCAACTTAACATCCTCATTTCCGTTACATGAATTCATTGTATTTGTGCCTGTTTCAAAACCCACTCCATAAAACATTACTCCGGTTGTATAAAAATTAGGAACATGGGAACCCAAATTAAGGTTTCTCTAGCTTTTGGGGCCACAAATTAATCTCTGTCACAGCCACTTTGCCTCCATTGAAGTCGTTTATATGAATTCATTCTTTTTTTTTTTTTTCTTCAATGTGGTGATATGAATTCATTATTTTTCACACACACACACACACACAAGCACAAACACCAATTAATTATAATGTGTCCCCATCCTTTCACAAGTGATACCTGCAATCAAATTTTCATATACCACCTTTCAATTATAAGCCACATTTAAAATCTTTTTACCTCTTTTCTTCTAGTGTTTATGTTGTCTATGCCATCTACATAACCATATTCTCTAATATTTCACTAATAGGTTCAATTAATAAGTATTTTTTTATCACTCTAATCATCCATCTGAGCATAATTTTTTTTTTTTTTATAGTTATCATTAATTGTTTTTGTTATTATTTTGGCATTCAGCAGCTTCAATAATCCGTGATTTTCATTGTTATTTGATTTGTTTTATATAGTCCATTGCTTGAAATGTTCAAGTGACTTGCGTTTATTTTTTTGCCCAGTGTTTTTATATCTTCACAAGTGTTGTGATGTTATATCACTACTAAGTTTTTTAATTTTTTTTTTGGTAAATGTTTTTGCAGATGTCAAACTCTGGAAGACTAAGGTGCGTTTTACATTTGGCTGCTCATTTTGTATCTAAGACTGTGGTTTTCTTTCTCGTAATTGTTTGCTTACATTTGCATTAATTCTTTAGGTATTCTCGGCATTCTAGTGGAAGAAGGTTGGTTTCGAGGTCCCCTTCAAGGAGACGACGGTCAAGGTGTTGCCGCAAAGTCGAACCAAATGTTTCTGTTTGTGTTCATTTGAGCTTGAAGGTGTTTGATTTAGTTATTTATTTTTATTGACTTATTTTGTGTTAATAGTATTAATTTATATCTGAATTAAATGTTCGTTAATCTTTTGCTGCTCTTATTGGATTCATCTAATTTCATGTTTTTGTATTCTCTGTGTAGCAGGGTAGGAGGCACAGAAGTCGAAGATCCTCTCCTGGAAGCTATATTGGACAGAAAACAATTCATGGTAAGATGGGTATTCACTGTTCTCCAAATTGCTAGATATATGTACATTTTGATTGCCCTAGTCTTATTATTGTGGTTTCTAATTTGCTTTCTCCTTTGTTTTGTTGATACAGTGTGTTGTCATTCTCCTAGATACTCTCCTTACCATCAGAGCTGTTCTTATTATTCAGCTGAGAGAGATAGGGGCAAATCATACTCTCCTCGTGAAAGGTCATACTCTCTTTACAACCATACATACTACTCACCTAATGAATACCAATGTGAAATGGCCTCCCTTTCCCACCCCCGTCGCAGCCCCAACCTTACCCCCATCCGCCGCTGCCGCCGCAGCCCCATCCAGCGTAGCCCCAACCCAAGCCCCATCCGCCGCAGCCCCATTAGCCTCAACCTTAGCCCCAGCCCAAACCTAAGCCCCAACCCCATTCGCCGCCTCCTCAGCCACAACCTCAGCCCCAGCCCAAGCCCTATCCAGCCCCAGCCCCAGCCCCAGCCCCAGCCCCAGCCCCATCCACTGCAGCCCCAACCCCATCATCCATTGCCTCAGTCTCAACCTCAGCCACAGCTACAGCCCAAGCCCCATTCGCCCCAGCGTCAACTTCAGCCCTAGCCCCCGCCACACCCCCAGCCCCAGCCCCAGCCCCAGCTCCTGCCCAGCCTCAGCCCTAGCCCCCGCCGCGCCCCCAGCCCAAGCCCCCGCTCCCGCTCCCAGAGCACTTTACTTCCTATGAGGAGCTCGAGGCATCACTCACGCCGTGTCCCCCGGAGGGCAAGGAGGAGTCATGAGAGGAGGATCAGACCACGTTACCTTAAGTGTGCAAGGATCAACTCAGGCTCAAGCTCCAGCTCCAGCTCCAACTCCAGCTCCAGCTCCAGCTCCAGCTCCAGTTCCAGCTCTAGCTCCAGCTCCAACTCCAGCTCCCGCTCCCGCTCTGACTCCAGCTCCAGCTCCCGTTCCCGCTCCCGCAACACTTCACCTTCTGCGAAGAAATGGAGGCGCCATTCACATCTTGACCTCCGAAAAGCAAGGAGAAGTTGTAGGAAACCAAGGAGGATTTGATCACATTCCCCTGTCTTGTAAAGCCTTGAACCTACGATATTTCTCCAAGTCCAAGCTGGTCAGGACTAAGCTACTCCACTATCCTGTCATTTGGGAGATGGCCAAGTGACTCTGATTCTTCTAGATATTCCAGGAGCATTAGTAGAAATACATGTTCCAAATATGTTTCAAGGTCCGCGACTCGTAACTTTACTTCATCTTCTCCATGAAGGGTTTGAATAGAAGGGTCTTGCTTTTTAGGGATCATAGTTTAAGATTATTTGGTAGAAGTGACTTCATACATAGGTAGCTATATTGGCTTTCTTGATGAAATATTTAGATAGTTTGGTATTGGCCTTTCTTGATGGATAATAATTTAAAGATAGACTCATATTTGATCTGGTTTTGGCCTATAATTGATTAAATATTGACCTCCCTCTTTTTCTGTTTTGATGGCATGATTCTGTATATATTATACGTGTTCTCTCTTTTTCCAAAAGAGCTCTCTTTGAGGGTTGATAATTGCTTTCCATCATTATGATTGAGGTTTGTTGTTGTTACTGCTGCTTTAGCTATATCAGAGAAATAATTTTGAACTATAATACATAGACTTTTCAAAGG